TTGGGATTAAATCATTTGAATCAGTTTAAATGCTGCTTTTCTTTGAGGCTTATGTTTTCCTTCCTCTGTATTTAGATCTTCCCATGGAGTACAATCCCTCAGATCATCCCCGCGCCAGCACCATTTTCCTCAGCAAGTCACAAACCGATGGTGAGTTGTGCTCTCTTCTTTTGTCGCATTTTAATAATCTCAGATCTCTCTGAAATTTCTTCACTGACTTTTAAATGAGGGAAAAGAGTATTTGGAGTGTCATGATTGTTATTAATCTAGAATGAAGAAGAGCTAAATTTAATAAATGTGTTTTCGTAATCAGTGACGCACCATTAGGTGTACACCTACTTGGATGAAGCCAGGATAGCATAATGCAGGGTTACATTTGTGGGTAAAGGATAATGTCTTCCGGTTTGTTTGAAAATGAGGAAGCAGCTTGTGGACATGCTTGAAGTTTCTGTGCAAAGTCAGTGAGCTGTGCACTGGTAGGTGCAAAGCCACTGCAGGTGGATCATGGACAACCAAGCAAAGAGGTGAAGCAAAGACAGTAGCATATGCCCACTTTTTGAGATAGCAAGCTGTTTTTATTGAAGGTGGAACTTCAGATATCAGCACAAGTACCACTGACCAACAAGCTTTTATCCAACATAAAAGCTCTAGATGGAGCCCTGTCCCGTCTGCTTTCATGTCAGATTTTTGAAGACGCTCTGGGGTGTTTTGATCTTCCTTAGCAGGCACAAAGATTGATCTTGTAGCAGTCAGGTGCCTCTAGAATGACAGGAATGTCTTATTATCAACTGAAATGTGAAGCTTTCTAGATTATTTCCCAGTTTAGACATAATCTTTTTGCTTTGAAGCTTTTGATTCAGCTGAGCAGTCTGTAGCCTGAAGGCTGTTATATAGATCCGGTGTTAGGTGCTGATAGTGTTGTATTAGCATCGTCAGGCTCTTATGTGAAAGTCTGCTGGCCTTTGTTCTCATACTGTTAATAAATATCAATACACAGCATTGTGGTCCTAACATATGTGACAGCTGCTGTGTTCATCACTCCCAGCAGCTATAAATGAATTACTGACGCACTTAATAACGAAGCCTGTTGTGTGTCATAAACATGGAGACAACTTGGACATTTGTTTTTCAGTTGCTGTGCCCAACAAAAGAGGTAAGCATGTATACGTCTCTGCTTGGTAGGCAGGTAACACTATGCTTACTGTGTGTTCGGGCTGGACCCTTTAAGGGAACAGTCCCTCTGTGTGGTCTCAAACTGCATCGTATTCTCGTACTCTGTTAGCAGGTGACTTGTCTCTGCTGCTTAGCTGCTGATATCGTCTGTGTGCGTGCGTGCGTGCGTTTCTTCCATTGCACATGTCCGTCCATGAGATGTAGGAACAGGACTGCACAGCCTTGGCCAAAGAAATTGCAATTTAGTTACTAAAATGACACGCCTCTAATTACTGGATATTTCAATTTTCATATGTAAATGGTTGATAAAGTTAGAAATCAGCCTCAAGTATAAAGCTGTGATTTGTGTCACAAGTGAAGCCATGTTTCATGACTATTCAGAAATCACTGTGGTTAGGTTTGTGGTTTTTTTGTTACTGTTTTTTTTTGACTAAGCTGTGCAGCTGTTTGATGGTGTCAAAGACTGCTGTTCTTTGCTAAATACACACACACACACACACACACTCACATTTGCTCAGTGGAAAAAGCTCAGCGTGCTTTGCAGTGTGAGTGTGTGCACCTTTGTGCCAGAGAGGTAAGACACAGACAGTATGGGATGAGACGTACAAGGTGTCTCTGTGTGCTCTGCGCTCTCCATCTGCTCCAGTTTGCTTTGCTAGCAGCCCTTTTCCCTTTGCGTGCTCTGTTAAAACAGAGTGAGCACATATACTGATGCACACAGACACGCACGCAGCGCTGCTGCACTGTTGCACTGTTGCACTGTTGCGTGTGCCGTAACTGCGATGAAGCTCTGCTTTATAGAACCAACAAATCATCACATCCGTTAAACAGAAGTAAGGTAGCAAAATAACAGATTTGTATGAACAGAAAGAGCTCAGATGATTGGCTGCACTTGAATAAACCAGTCACTATGCCTGATTTAATTTGGACTCATGTATGTCCAATCACAGGAAGTTAATTCTGTTCATGAGGACGTAGTGTGGGAGAAACGTTTCATCACTCATCCAGGTAAATTCTTCAGTGTCTGAAGATTTCCTGACCTGGATGACTGAGCATGAATTAAGACATGTATGTCTAAATGATGAGCGGATTAATTGATAAGGTCACACTCATTCCCACATATTAACACACATTTGCCAGTGCAATCGCAGGGGAGAAAATACTCACAGGCTTTGAAATTTCTCAGTTTTTTAATGTAAAAACTGATTTTTGCTGAAGCTGCTTTGCTTTGTTGTATGTGGTTTATAATAATTATACACAGGGGGAAAGTCTACATTAATAGGGCAGCTCTGAAGCCTGGTTATATGCTGCTCCCTGTCTGTGAGGGTTGTGTACTACACTCACACAAAGATTCTTGAAGCGCTCTCTCGTCTTCTTTTTCAGTTCGAGAAAAACGGAAGAGCCTTTACATCAACCACGTAAGTAACTGAATCATTAGCCACTGTGTGTAAAACGTTTGCTGTTATGATTGCTGTGCTGTGCAGTTAGTAATTTTAATGTCTTGTATTTTTTGCAAGTTAACACACATTTCGGAGAACAAGGTAAAGTCACCCAAAGTAACCCAAACCCGTTTCCATTGTTCCTCCCGTTTTTTTTTTTATCCCACACTCCAGACTCCAATTATAGTCTTAGTGTTTAAAAAGCTTTAGATGTAGTAGAAATGTAGAAGAAGCGTGGTGTTATGGTGCAGGTCATCTTTGTCCACACTCCCTGAGACCTGAAAGACAGGACTTGCTAAACGTGCAAATGTGCTTTTTTGTTTGAACAAAATTTGCATTACTCAGTTCCTGCAGGGCCAAATGAGAAAACAGCGTCTTGTTTAAGTCATAAACCTGTTTAGTATGCACCAGTTAAAAATAATTTTGAATGAAATGAATGGACGATGAATAGAAAGGTCATTACTCAAGGTGATGAACTTGCTATTCATTAAGTTTTTGATGTTTCTCTAAAGATGCACTCCACCATAAATACCATTCCTGCATGCAACAAAGTGAGACGCTGACAGACCCACAGATTAGCTCGTGGGCTCACAGGTGCCCTACTTTCCATCCTCATACCAGGCCTTTGGCTCGTCCAAGTATGACAGAAATAGAGATTGACGTGTGTGTCTCTGTTTTTTGGTACGGACGTGTTTGAACTCCAGCATTTTCCGGGCCCAGTGAGACGGAAATACAGCTCCTGTTCCACCATATTCCTCGATGACAGCACTGTCAGTCAACCCAACCTGAAATACACCATCAAATGGTAACCCCCATCTGAGCGATTCACAGCTTTATCTAATATTGAAAGATTTTCCCCTTATTGTCCTCTTACACTCATTTTTATTTACCTTTTTGTGCTTGCAGCGTAGCCCTTGCAATATATTATCATATAAAGAACAGGTAAGATTAACCTTTTATTTCTTTTGCACCAAAATTCCACGAAATACAAAAGCCCGGCAACATCCTGCTTCATTCTGACCCAGAAAGATTATATTAAATTCTTTACTCTTTAGATACTTTGATATCCAACTGAGCTAGACATCCTTCTGCAAAGGGATGTGTTCTTACTAAAGGCTGTGGCGACACTAAATAACGCTTGCATGGAGACATTTTTAAATAAACCACAAAGCAGAGAAGAACAGGCTGTTTTATGTAGCAGCTTAAGTGACTCACATTTCTGCTCGCAAACATGCAGCCTGGAACACATTTTTGTGTTGTTAATAGAATTTGGTGAATTGACATGACTTGACAGATCTCATATTTTTTTAAAAACACGGAAGCTTTAGGATAAAACGTGTTTCTATAAACTGAAAGTGGTAAGAATTCCATATAGGGCAGCTGGTTGAAGTGCAGATTCATTCATATAAATGACTTATCAATGAAATCATGCATCTGTTTTTGATTTCTTTTCCTCTTTTTAATTCCAGAGACATCGACGGAAGAATGTTGTTA